TATCCTGCCATTTAAAGTATAAAAATATTTTATTAGAAAACTATTTTTAATCAATTTTTAATTTATAATTACAAATTTCTATATGTAAATAAAAAAAATTAATTTTGAGAAATCTTAATTAATTAATTTGCTATTTTAGAAAGATTTTAAAAACAGATTACTTTAATCATCACTTGTTGATAAATCGAAAAGATTTCAAGTTTAATATATAATAATAAACTTCGGATTTTCACTTAATTGAAAAAATATTTATAATTGAACTATATTCTCCATATACATTTTTTAAAGTTTCTTCATTCCACATTTCTGTACATTTTCCAATTTTTTTCATAATCTTACCATTCCAAATCATCACTGTTGGTAAATTTATTCTAAATTATTGATTTTTTCAGATTTATCAGAGGTGTTGTGATATTAATCACTAATCAATTTATATCATAGAAAAAATACTTTCTTATAAATATGTCATCTCAATATTATTGGATTGTTTATTTCAGTAAATGTGACTTCAAATTTTTTTCTTTTTTTTCTAGGTAGATTCCTGGTTTTTTTTTTAATTTTTCTTCTAAAGATTGTGATTTTTAAAATAAATTGTCCCCTTTAAAAATAATACAATTCAAATTGTTTTATTTAATATAATAATTATTAACTGTAGAGCGCTTTTTCAAAATAGGATTGAGAATTTTTTTAAGAATGATTACTTGTATAATTTATCGCTAATTAAATGAAAAAATTCATAATCCTTATAGTCATGTTATTGTAATTTTATTGATTGAAAGTTTCATATAAAAGTGAGTAGAAAGGAACTATCAATATCAATTAAGAATTTTATTTATAAACAAATTTATATTTGAAACGAACTAAAACGTTAATGAAATTTATAGTTAAGAATATAAAAATAAAGAAATACTTGAGCAATTTAATTTCAATTAATAAGAAATTTAGTTTAAATGATACACATAAGATTGAAGCTATATATATATATATCTAAGAAATTAATCCTTAATTTATTAACTATAACATATAGATTTATAATTTGATTAATAAATTAAGGACATATATAATGTATTAAGGTTATTATCATTGTTCCTTTAAAATTCAAGAATTAGTGATTCTAATTTTTATTTTTTTAATTACTTATGTTAAATTAATATTTATATTCAGTGCAGAGATATGAAATAAATAATTTATTATAAAAATGATTCTTTTAGTAGCAATAAATTCTGTGCAAAATTATTTAAAAAATGGAACAAATTCAAAAGAGAAATAAATGAAAAATAAAGACTGGAAAACATTAGATAGTATGGAATGTTTCAAGATTTCAAATTTATGTTTATTCTAAAAAACAACTTTGAGTATTTAGATTAATGAAGAAGGAAAAATAATTTATTAAAAAGATGGTTCTATACTGTATATGTACATATTTGAATCTAAATATAAATAAGAGAGTAGTACGATTCCCTGTTTTAAGCCTAAAATCTAGAGTAATTAAAATATTTAAGATGGCACGGGTAGTATAATAATAAATAATAAAAAATTGGAAAATGGTAACCTTAATGGAAAGGTGTAAATTTAGAAGTAGGGGGATTGTATTGCAATCAAGGTATGAAAACAGGCAATTGGATAGAACTTTTTGAAAATTTTTGGGAGTAATTTAAAACATTTTAATTTAGCAAATCATAAGTGACTTTTATAGGATTATATTTAAATAATAAAAAATAAGGAAAATGGTAAATATATTTTTTTAATTAAAAATTAAAATAAATAAACAAAATGTATAAATTTATTACAATTTAAAAAGCGGTGAAGGCTATTATGATTATGAAGGAATTAGTTAAGGGTATTGGATTAATTTGCACAGAAACTTTTATGAGTATATAAATATAAATAAATTTAATAGTGGAAGATAAATTATTTATAAAGGAAGTTATAATAATGGTACTAAATAAGGATGGTGGGATATTTCATTTCATAGTTATTTTGATAGTCGTTTTAAAAAGATGTAATAATTAAAATACTCTTAGAGGAGGAGGTTATTATAATAGAGATGGGAAAAAAATGGAAAATGGATTGAGGTTAGTGAAAATTTTTGGAAGTAAAACTAATCTAATTAATTTAAGTGGATGTTAGATTTTAGAAAAAGGAGAATATAGAAATGGTTTAAAAATTGGAATTTGGGAATCTTAATTAAAGGAATATATAGATGATAATTATAAATTAATGTAGTTATCTTCATTATTAATCTATTTTTAGAGGCTTAGGATGTTATAATATTGATAGAAAAAATGGAAAATGGATAGAAATTCATCAAAAATCGATGAGGTATAATTATATAATAGTTTTATTCATTCTAAATATTTTGAGTGCAAAATAATAAATGTAGGAAATTATAAAGAGGGTCTTAAAATTGGAAATTGGATAAGTATAGATCAATAAACTGAAAATATTATGTAAAAGTATCATATTTGATTATAGAGGAGGAGGTGATTATAATTAAAATGGATAGAAATTAGGAATTTGGGTAGAAGCAGAAGATTATAGGTAGTAATTAATATCATATTTTCAGCTCTTTGTCAAAAATTACATAAAAAGGCAGATATGTAAATGGAAATAAAGAAGGATAATGGCAAATTAATTTGAATAATTAGAAAATGTATGTTAAATTTAGATTATTATATTTAAGAGGAGGAGGAAATTATAATGATAGAGGATTAAAGTTTGGATAATGGATTGAAATTTATGATAAATTTTGGGAGTTAAATATTTATATATATATTTATTAGTTATTGCAAAGTATTATTTGTAGGAAATTATAAAGAAGGAATTAAAATAGGAGATTGGGAAGTTCATTTTTATTAATAAGATAATAATTCATTGAAAATGTTTGATATTAATCATGATATTTTAGAGGCAAAGGAACTTATAATGACTTAGGAATGAAAACAGGATACTGGACAGAACCTTCTGAAACATTTTGGGAGTAAATAATATCATAAAATCTATAGGAAATTTTAAGTTATTTATGAAGGATAATATTCTAATGGAATTAAAAGTGGTAAATGGAATGCATTCTTTACAGGTCATCTGCATAATAGGAATGGAATAAAGATTAAAAAATGGATGGATTTGTATGAAAACTATTTAGAATAACCCATTTATGTTGGTAAATATTAAGATGGGATCATAATGTAAGAATTTAAATTGATAAAATAAATGCTTTATTATTGATTTCACAATATATATATCTATATAATTAATTTACATTTATATTTTATTTGAAGTATTAAAGATATATTTCATTAATTTTAATAACAAAAAAAAACTTAATTGTTAACTATTGATAAAAAAAACTTAGGTTAATAATATTGAAATTCTATTAATTTTATATATAATCTTTAAACGATAAAAATAAATGGGAAATTATCTTTTTGCTTTCTACACTATAGGTAGATCATTAACTATTAGAAATTGCCAATCATATTCAGAATGATGGATTAAAATATTAATCAGTACCAAACTTGGAATGCCCATTTTCTCTTTTTCATTTTTTCGATGGATTTTTACATTTAGTATCACAAACTATTAATATATATATATTTTTTTCTCAATAATGATTATTATGAATAGGATTTGAATACACCATACTACATATGAGATTTAAGTAGAACCTTGTGTATAATCATCGTATAAAAATATTCCCCAAAATAAGTTTCTGATTGATTAGATATATTAGTAATTATTTTCATATGTATTAGAATAAAATGTAAATTGATTATTAAAAATTATGAAATTTCTAGTAATAAATAAAAAAATGATATAAAGGAAAAGAGAAGAAAAGGACAAAATTAAAAATCTACATTTGAAATAATGCCTGAAATTGCTTATAAATAATAATAATGGTGTAGTAACTCTAGTATCATTCAGTGATACTAGAACACTTTTAGCTTCTGCTGAAATATTGGATATTAAAATATTTTAATATTTAGATGGATTTATAAAGTTTATTCAATTACTCAGGCTCTCTTTGTAGAAAAGATAATTTTATTTAATTTTACTTTTATTGTCCTCAATTAACTAGAAATGATAAATATAATAAAAATTAAAGATACAAAAATAGATTTCAGACTGCTAAAATCCTAATTATAAATTTCTATATTTTATTGATTCAATTCAATAAAACACCATTATTTTCAAGATTTAAAGTCTTAAGGTTGGTTTATTTAATAATTAAAAAATCTCTTTTAATTGAAAAATTCAATTGAGGATTCAATATAACTATTATTGATCAGAACGAATAAAAGTCTATAGAGAAAAAATTCCCTAAGTTTTGATTTTCCATCTTTAAAACCAAGGGTAGTCAGCAGTTTAAACTGCTTAACAGGATAAAATTTGCACACATATAATTAAATTAACTCAATCTGCATCTATCGGTTTTTATCCTGTTAATTTATTGATTATTAAAAAAAATTCATCTCAACAATCTTTTTTTTGATAATAAAATAATTACATTAATCACAATAAAATAACCAAAAAATAAGTTTCAATTACCTCTATAAATATATATTTATAAGATCATTTTTATTGGATTGGCAATTCCAAAAATCTAGATATATTATGACTTTTTCTTAAAATTTTATTGCAATAAATAATCGTAAAAATCTCTTTTTTATCCAAGAACCATAAGTTTTATTAAGTGTCTATTTTTATAAATTTCTTTGACTAGATTATAATAATTAAAAAAAGAATTCTTACTATCATCACAATTTTTTATTGAATATATCAAATTAATTATAATCTAAAAATAGTTTTTTATTGATGATAATTGTTCATTTTGTTTAGTTAGAAAGCTATTTGTTTAACTAATAATAAACTTAAAGATGTTATTTCATAAAAAATCTAATATTTATTTTTTTGTTACTTTTCGAAATTAAAATTTATTGAAATTAATATCTTTTATCTTTTATCTCAGTAAAATTATTCTTAAATTTAAAAGAAAACAAAATTAGATATATCGATAAAGCTTTTTTTTATAATGCTTAAACATAATAACAGTAATGATAATAGTATTTTGGGAGAAATTTAATTAAATTATTTGTTTTATTATAAATTATTCTTGCATGTTTCTAAAAATTTAAAGTTAATAAAACTTGTGTAATCATACACTGGTAATTAGTTTAAAAAGGCACAACAGTTTGAATAAATAATAAATGAAATATTCTTGTTGATTATATAGAAATGTTGTGTAATTCAGAATAATTTAATGAATTATCATAATTTAATCTTGGTAAGTGTTTTTGAGATTAAAACTATTTTTTTCTGTGATTATAGCATTTTATCTGAATAAATAAACCATTTGATTAATTATAATATTAGGATATGTTTATTTAAAAACTAATAATTAAGTCTTTAATTTCAATGATACAAATCCATTCATAAAGTTTATTTCTCATAATTTTTATAATTATTTGAAAGTGTTTACTTTTTTGTAACATTAAATTGAATTAGTTGAATTATCTTTCAAATTAATTATCATTTAGATAACTTAATAATCAATTAAAACTCATCAACTAATTAAATTCTGGCAAATATATCAAATCTTAACTAGCATATTATCTAATAATATAAATTTTCCTTTAATCAATTATTAAAGTAATTGATATTAACTTCTTTCAAATGCAGAATGATTAAAAAAATTTGATTTTTTTAGATTAAATGAAAGAGAATTATTATATGATAAAAAGATATTTTTGTTGGAGCAATATATCAAGGAGTACATTTATGTTATATATTTAAGATTAATTAGACCCATTTTTTTTATTTGCTCAAAACTTTATTAAGCATATTTCTATAAAATATTAATTTATATTTATCTATTTTAATAATTTTCATTCTTCTTTATATTTCCTAATTTATATCTCTTTAGATGAATCATCCCAAGTAATTAAATACTCTCCATCATCACTCAATCTACCAAATAAAATATTAGTATAAAAGTGAATAGATTATTCAACTTTAAATTCATCTTTTTCTGTCTTTCTTATAAAATTGACATATTCACCATGTTTAATCACTAATATCTATTTTTGTTTAATAAATTATGATGGAAATAATGTATAATAATTATCATGAGATGAATTAACAATAATATCTTTAGTTTTAGTGAACTATTTACTTACACTATTCATCTCATAAACATACATCAAATTTCCATTCATTGGTTGAAATGCGAATAAATTATTGTTTATAAAGCTTAATTGATATCCAAAACAATCAACTTTTATATTTTATATTAATATTCAATTACTAATACTCTACCATCTAATCCACAAGAAATAACTTTATCCTCTTAATCATTTAAACTTAGTGAATAAACATTATCAATATGATCAGTGATTGTTTATTACCAAATCCATTCATTTTTTTTAATCCAAAACTTAATAGTTTTATCAAGACTACTAGTTATAAAAAGATCTTCATTATTATTTACAATTAAGCAACTGATATGTCCTTTAATTGTTTATAAGGAATTCCATTATGTATTTTTATTGCCAGACCAAATTACAATTGATCCAATAGCATCTGCAGATATCAATTCATTTGATTTTTTCATGAATTTTAAATTGCAGACAGGATAAATAGATTAATTGAAGACTTGTATTTATTTCATGATTCCTTATTTGAATTCATATATTCTTATTTAAATTTAGCAAGCAATTGCTACAATTGAGCAATCTTTATTAATTTCAATTACATGACACGATTGCTATTCCTAAATTGAATTATGTTAAATTATTTAATAAGTAAATGGTTTTAAATTAAATTAAGAAGATGGAGATTTAATAATTTGTTGTTTTTCTTTTTATTATGATGATTATTAAATCAATATACATTCATTTTGTTAAAGTTATAATAATTTGAATTAAACTTGATCTTTGATTTTTTAATTAATTAATGGTTTCACTTCTTAAAGAATGTCTAATTAAAATTCATTTAAACCAATTAAATTGAATTGATCAAATTTTGGTGAAGATTATTCAAATTTAGGATTACTAAACTTACAAATTGGAGTATCGATGATGAATAGTTAATCAATTAAATTATTTATTTTATCAAAAGATGACTAAAGTGATGAAAATCATAAATAAATACATCTAACTGTTTCTCAAATTCTATCATATGAGATATTAACTCTCTATTTAACATTTCTTTTCTTGACATTATTTCTATTTCTTTTGAATTATTAATTAAATTTTTATTATTATTTAAAGAAAAAGATGATTTAAAATATTGCTCTTTTGAAAAATCAACATCCTCATTAAGTTAAACATTAAATTAATATTTATATGTATGTTATATATATCTTTGATAACATGTTACACTTTAATTCTGAAAGAAAATTTAAATGAATTTATACAAAAACTGTTTTTTTATAAATTTTTTTCAAATTTTTAAAAGGTTAATAACAACCTGCTTATAGTTTCCGAATTATTTTTAGTAGCCTTTACAATCTAGTGAAAATGCTATTTTTTATATATTCTAAATAATTTTCTATTTATTTTTATATCACAAAGTAAATGGTATAATAGTGATAATTATACTTTTTCCTCAAATGTTTTATTTAAAGTTTCATCCTTTATCTTGATTAAATCATTTCTCCTATACTTCTCTCTCAATTCATCCTAATTCATATAGACATTGGGCACATTTATGGATAGTACTTAGTTCTGTTTTCTTTCAATACTAGTTTTTGCTAATGATTTTATCTTTAGTGTTCACATGATACAGAAAGAGACATTAAAGCTACTTTCTTACTAAATTTTTATTTAAATGAATTTTCAATTAAATTAGACTTTAATAAAGATAGAAATAACATAACTCTAAGGATAGAAAAAAAATTTTAATTATCTTGAAATTATTTTGTACCATGATCTACACAGAACGGGATTTTCAAGAATACCTAAACTTGAAAGGGATTCCAGCTATTGGGAACTCTGAAAACCCCTCAAAGCATGGCAAGAATGTATATGAGGTCTAGGTAATTTGAGATTTAGAGTGAGATGAGGGACAACCTCCTTAATTTTTTTTCTGGTCTTGTTACAGTTTGGACCTTACCTTGATAGTCTAAAGCTCTTTATACTTACCCGAAAAAGTATTTGTTCAGAACTTTCTATTCTAAGTCATCTATTAATAACCAAAATCTCAATAATGAATTAAAGTGAATTATACTTATACAACTTAAATTAAATTATATATTGCAGTTTTTAGAGAACTCAATTGGAATTTAGAGTTAGACACTCTCTAAAACTTTCGGCAGAATTACCCCAGCTGTCTCAAACTAACTACATTTTCATTATGTTAATAAAGTGTGTGTTAAAATACTAAATAAAAAAAGTATAGAAAATCATATTCTTTAAAATGTACTTTTTGTTATTAATGTTTTATCTCCATGTTGTCGTAACTTTATTAAGTCCAGAAATCAAATACTCAATTTTTGATATCAAAGAATAGTTTATTTCTTTTTTTATCAAGATCAAAAGATTAATTTCACTTAATTTAGTATTATTCACTAAAAGATTTAAAATCTATAAAGTAATTTAATGGTTTTAGAGAATATTAAATTAATAAATAGGGATTTTTCAGTCGGTAAAAGAATTTTTTATTAAAATTAAATTCAAACTATTGATTCTTTTTATTTTATATATATCAAGTTTAATTTAATTTTCGAAAAAAGATGATTCACAAAAATTTTTTAATATTTTAATCACTCCAGAATTTACAACTTTTCTAAATCTAAAAGTTATTATTATATTTAAGTAATAATTAAATATGCAACTTGATCATTAACGGTTAGTGAAGAAAGCATATTTGAGTTAAGTAAGGCAGAACATCTTAATTAATAAAGTCTAAGGGATATTTAGAACCATTATTCATTTAGTTACTGGATAGTTTTATGGTTCTTAGCTCTGTACATCTATTAAGATGGTAGAATTATATAATTCTTGTTAATTTGCAAGGCTATTAACTTGCCTAAATGAATGGAGATTATTAAGCAAGACTTTATATAATTAGGAGTAGGATGAGAATTACTGTAAATCTTAAGAGCTAATGAGCTGGGAAGAGACCATATGCGGTACTAAATTAAGACCTAATGGTATGTGTGTCTTATAGAATTCCAATTATGAATTAATAGATTATTAATTAGTGAACTTCTAGGTAAATTAAATATATGAGGAATCTTTATTTTTAGATACTTTTCTCAATTATCAAAATGAAGAGTATTTATCATTTAATTTGATAATAAAAATATAAACTTAATTTTGTGATAAATTTTAATATTGTAATTAAGACATCAAGATAAAAATGGAATGATCAAATAGTAAATTTTCATATTTTATATTTAACAGACGTATTATGATTTGAGGGAAAAATAACATCTGCTAAACTAATTAACTGAGGGAATCTGCTCATCTTATTTATAAGTTATAAAATTAAGGAGGTTTATATATTATAAATTACTGGTGGATAAATTACAAGTGGAGAGTATAAAAGCTTATATCTAACAATTACATCGAACATATGTTTAAAGATTAAATAATTTAATTTTAATTTCTACTTTAGGAAAATATATTATTCAATAATCACTTTGATTCACTTATATTTTAGATTAAGTTATTTCTTACATTCAGCTATTAATATCAATTATAATACCTTATTTATTTTTAGCCCATTAATTATCTGGGTTGATTTAAAGAGCCCTAATGTAACAAATAAAAGCTTGTTAAAATTTTGATAATGATTGTAAACAGGCTCCTATATAATTTAAAATATAGTAAACCTTTTCTGGCTAAAGATATATCATGATTTTAATTAATATTTAATGCTTTTTCTAAAATCATGAGAGCTTCGTTATATTTACCCAAAATTCTTAATGAGTCACCTACATTAAAAAATTTTAATTACCTTTTGAAGATAATGAATTGACATGGTTTGAATTTATAGACAAAGCTTTTTCTGCCCATTTAATTGCTTCTCTGTAATCTTAAACCATTTTTAAAGAATCAGCTAATACATTTGTGTATGGTTTTTATACCTTTTATAAACAATGAATCAACATGGTTAGGATCAATGAGTAGTGCAGCATCTATTACTTTAATTGCTTCTTCATATTTATTATCATCGTAATATAATTTGTATCCTAAATTAATCATTTGATTACCTTTTTAATATAATTATTAGAATTTTTCTAATTTTTCTTGTTCTTATTTATTTTATTAATGACTATTTGCTTCCTCTAATTTCAAATCTTTAATATTTCCTTTTAATTAAATGATCATATCATCTGAAGATTTTTGTATATCTTCAAATAAAACTTTTGTAATTTCATCATATTTTAGCACTTAATCTAAAACTTAATTCAATTGCTTTGCATTCAATTTTTACAACCTCTTCTTAGAGAATTTATATTTTTATTGCAATCCTTAATTTAATTAAGTAAATAGTTCAATTATTTCTCCAAGCATCAAACTTAATTTCTATATTAAATCTTCATTCTCTTATTCAACTTTATTAAAAAATTCAATTAATTCCTTTATATTCTTTTAATCCTTAATATGAGCAATATGATCTCCATTCCTAAGACATTAATGACAATAAACTCTATTAGCTTTACATTATTAATTGAAACATGCTAATTCAACATAATCATGTTCTTCAATAGAACATTTTATCTAAAGTTCTTTTATCTAATTCATTTATTATATATATTTATTTGTATTTCTATTAATTGCTTAATTAAATGTATAAATGGAAGATCAAATTACAAATATTTTAATCTTCAATTAGAAAAGCTAATTATGTTTCTCTATCATACTTTAGGAAGAAGTAGCGATAAATATAACTTTATTATTATCAATAAATTTTCTATTTGAGAATTGAGGTTTGCCTTCATTTTATATAGGAAAATATCGCATAAAACTATATGAATTCTTTAAAATAACCAATAAATTATCATAGAAGTAATATAGTTCATAATTTAAATTCTATAATTTTGCCAGAATTATTTTTTAAAATCATTTATTTTTTAAAAGGTAAATAAAGACAACTTTTCATCTAAGACAAAGTATTAATATAAATTCTAGTTTAAATTTAATACTTTATATAATAAAAATTATTTAAAAAAAAAAATGTAGCTTTATGAATTAATTAAATTCTTCAAATATTCAACTTAAAAATCGAAAACTTTATTGAATTTGAAACCTTAAAATCTGACTTTTTTTTGGAAAGAACTTAATAATCTAACATAACAAATTTGAACCCAAAAAATCTAACTCCAACTTTTGCAAGGACTCTGACTAGCTAATTTTAAAAAAGAATAGTTTACTGGATGTTTTAAATTTAATGAAAAATCATATTATCTAATCTAAACATTAGATGAAATATTCTCATTTATATTTTGTTATCATAACTATTTAATATAAATGGGTCCTCCTTTTCATAATTAAATTGGTTATCAAAAACAAATTGAAATATACTAATTGTTTTAATAGAGTAAAACCAATTTTAAGAATAGTATAAACTCACTTGTTATAAATTGAAAATGCATTTCAAGGCATTATGTAAAATTTTAATTTTTAAGTATTCTCAAGATCCATAAGTTTTATTTTCAATTTGATATCAAATATTATTAGATTTAATTGGAGAATTTCTAAGGATGAAATCGATTTAAGATTAATTTCATTTAATATGATAATTCTGATTAATTCAAATCTATTAAATTAAGTATAAATCGCAATAATAAAATAAAATTTATTTTAATGAAATAATAGAATTTGTTCATGTGCTAATAAATAGCACATGAAGATTAATTTATATAAGGTATTTGTTTAAAGTTGGGATGCCAAGATTCAAGATCTTAGTTTTCTCTTTAATGCGGAATTGATCCTGAGAAACATACTAATTGCAAAAAAGATCTAAAAGGATTTGGTTAAATTTAGGGTTTTATAACAAAATTCAATTAGTATATACTTGATTTAACTAACTAATTAAATAAATCCTATTCATCAGTCAAAATTAAATATGCTATCATTAAAAATTAATTGAACCTAAAACTATTATTTATTATTGTTGGTTTTATACTTAATATATTTTTGATTAGTTGAATTTTTAATTATTTTAAATTTGAAAATCATGACAATCTAATTCAATATTGAATCTGAAATATTAAGTAATGGACTTAGATTAATAATAATTATAATCTAAACTAATAAACTTAGATAATCAAATTGTCTAATTTCACCTTATAACAAAATATTATTTGGCTGTTTATGAAGGATTTTTTAATGAAAATTTGCAATTCTTTGGTAATGATACTCTCTTAGGTTCAAGGAGTCTGTGTCCTTTTTAAAGATTATTTAAAATTTGATACTATAAATACAAACCTAAATAAGATGATCAAACATTTTAAGATATTCAATTTTGATTAATATTGTGAAGAATGAACTTCAATTTATAATCCCTTCATTTAAAGTCATAAATTTTAGAAAATTTTTTATTTTCTGTTTCCTTATAAATCTAATTGTAAAAATACCTTGAATTATTAAATAAATTATTTACACTCTATTGGGTAACATCATCTTTTTAACTAATTCTTAAATTTCTTTAATTAAATTGACAATCATTCAATTAATATGATCTGAATTTGATTATATAAAGGTTGAAATTAAAAATTTTAATTATTTTTTGAAATAAATTAACTAGATTGTTTCAAAGTATTACTCTAAAAAAATGTTGATTAAAGTCTAATTGCAAAATTCTAAAACTCAATTTGAAGATCCTGCTTATAATCGATTCTTAATGTAACATCAAAAATATGGATTGTAGCAAATAACCCAGAATAAATAAAGTTTACAAAATTTATGTCTACTTCAATAGCATCTTAAAAAAGAAAAGATAAAGTTAATAATATTTATAGAAGATCAAAGAAATATGTTCAATATCATCAAATTATTAAACACATGTAAAATAAGATGAGAGAATTCTAATGCATGAATATATCATAACATTGGTGTCAATCTTTTTCGTTTTTTATAATATATGAATTTCTCTTGCAAAAGTCACTAATATTGATTTATAACTTAAGTTATTAAATGATTCTTTAATCTTCTCATTCTTTTTGATTGGATAGAAGTATCAATTCGAGAATCTAATTCTTTATATTTTTGAAAACTATTCGTAAATTCAATAAAATTTATAGATTTCCTTAACTTTGTTTAATTATGAAATTCAATTTATTTTTAAATGGATTGAAATCATCAAAAAAGATAATCAAATCATTAATAGGAATGATGCCATAATCGCATTAATCTTGATTTTGCTTTACAATTTCTTCGTATATTTTTTTATATTAATCAAATCCACTTGCAGCTCCTATTTCATTCAATCAATTAGCAATTCTAATACTATAGTTCTATAGTTCAATTTTCCTTTCTCTATTAATATTTTCAAGATAATTAAAGTATTATTATTGAAAGAGTTCTCTCCAAATAATAATTTGCATCGTGATGTTTTTGTTCTTTATTTATCTATGTATTAATATTGATTTAATCATTAAATGGCGTCCTACCAATTTAATATTTAAATACCCAAATTGTATCATGCTTCAAGTTTTTAGGTTGAAATACATAACTTTTTGAAATAAATCAATCGCCTTTTAAATGTGATTCAATTCAGATAGTGGAATGCCTAAACTTTTTAATTAAAAACCTTATAGACTAAAAGCATGGATTTGAATGCAAAAATTACATAAACGATTTATTAAGTATTCTTAGATGTGATTATGCTTAAAGAATATAGTAGAAATTGTCGTTAATCTGACGATGGCAAAGTAAGTTATTTTATATAGAGAAGCTTATATTGCAAAAGATTAATTAGATGAATCTTGCAATAAATTTTATCAATTAATCATAAGGTTTGAGGAGTGTACCCAATTTATTTTATTAAATTCTCTTGGCTAAGATGCATAATAGTGTTTGAAGTATTTGATTTTATTGGAGTGAAACATCCTATTCTTAAAATGATATTTATTTAACTATTTTTATAGTTAATTTAGCTGTTGTAGATTTTAAAATTATATAATCATTATTATTGTTATTAATTTGATCTGAATTGCGAAATCTGAATATAAAAATTAATTCAAAGTACATATTTTATTGTCAAATTTTATAATAAAGTATACACCACATGCACTTTATGCCATACAGGATTCTTTTACTCTTAAACATTGCTTCCAAGAAAGATAAAGTTAGTAAAATACTTAATATCCCTTATTTTATTCTTTAGAAATTAATTGTATTGCTTACATAACATTTCAATCAGATTGAAGATACATAAATAACATGTGATTCTCAATTAGTTGTTTAAGACACTTACAAACTTTTCATAAATTGAGTTCTTAATGCAATTAGACAATATATGTTATTTGGATACTTAAAAAAAAGGATATGTTATTTTGAAAATACTTTACTTGATATTTTTTAATATTAAATATAATTAGGAAATATATTCATAAACTATTATCACTATTATTATGACAAATATAGGTAAAAATATCATAAACTACATAGTGTAAATCGAAAAAAAAGAAGTTTTTAGATTGGGTTAATTCGATAACTATTTTTTATTATAATTAAAAAATAAAAATATAGATAAATAAGAAATATGATAATTGAAAATGAGCCAAAATAATGAATTAGATTTTAAATATCTATATTTGATTTAATAGTAAACATATTATTTGGTTGCTTATGTACTAAATCAATAAAAAAGATTTTAATTATCTAAGTATGAAATAATTCATTAATTTTCAAACTTGATCATTTTCAATACAAAATAAAAGTTCCCTAAAGTTTTATTACAATTTAGAAACAAAAAACATTCTCTTAATTAATATCCAACTATTTTCTTCTGATTTCATCTCCCTAAGACTTAAAAAATAATCAAATTGGGATGTATGATACAATTAAATAAATATGATCCTTTTTACATTTTCATCATTTTAGAGTGAAAAAAAGTTTCTGAATTTTAATATATATAATGTATTTCGATTCTGGATAGGAAGAAGATAAATTAGAGATTTTTAGATTAAATTTCATGGGTTTTATCAATTAGAGGCTTTTTGGAAGAAATTTGAAGTAAGATTAAATCATCAAATTATATTAACGAAAAGATTGAAATATTTCGAATTTAATAAAATGTAGTTATATATTTTTGTTTTAATGATATAATATTTAAATAAAGGCAGCCATATAAGTAAAAGATTTCTTTATTATTAATTAAAGAATTATACTCACTCTATTTTTTAAAAACAGATCTTAATAAAGAGTGGAATATTAGTAAATTATTGTTAAAAAATAAGAAATATTACCTCAAATTCAACTATGTAAGCTATAATGATATGTTTTTATTAGGATCAATACATTCCTATCAATAAATTTCATAAATAAAGGATTTTTTGAATTGTTATTTAATATCTCATCAAGTAGTCTAGAGGAAAGACGCTGCCTTGGGGCGGCAGAGATCCGAGTTCAAGTCTTCGGGTTGGTGAATTTTTTTTATTAAATTTATTTTATTTTTTATTAATAATTTGTCAATACTTATTCTATGTGAAAATATATTTAACTAAATATTTTAATTGTGCTTAAATACAATGTGATATTAATAGAAGCGCTTATGATTTTTGTAAAAAATATTCATCTGTGATCAAAGGTAGTATATAGTATATAATATATATATATTGTTTGGAAACTCTAAGATTAGCTAAAGGCTTATGAATAGACATTGAAACTGGAAAATTTTTCATAGGGGAGAACAAAAATAATAAATAAGGATAGATGATAAAAATAGTCTTTTGATTAAAAGAAAAAAGTTCAATATTTTTACATAATAATAATTTCTTTTTTGAAATTATCTCCTTTAAGATAAAAGACTCCTATCAAAACTTTTAGACGAAATCAATGGCGACATGCCTACCATATCTAAAATAATCAAAACTAAAAAAAAATCATAGCAGGTACTTGTTTTGCTTTAGCTTAATTAATTTTGCTAAAGCTTAATGTAATACTTACTAAGCCCTTATAGCTTACTAAAGGAGAAGGCATTGGTAAAAAATCAACCATTTGTAAATTCATTCCAAAAGAAAATAACTTTTAAATATGTACTTGTAAAACATTCACTAAATATGCAGATGAAGAAAAAGATTAATCTACATGTAAGACTAATCCTTCTTTTTATTGGACTATAAATTAATGTATTGATTACCTTATGAAGCCTTTTCATCTGGTTTAAATTGTAACACAATACCAAATTTAGATGGTACTAAATATAAAAAAAGCTATTCAAAAACTGTGAGTGAGTTATTATGAAATATTTGGGTCAAAGAACTTTCAATAACTTAATAGAAAAAAATCTTAAGATTAGAAACGAATTATTATGTGGAAAAATCTCTTTTTTCTTCAAATTATAGATATTCAAACCTATTATTTGAATTTTTATTAGATCCTTTGAATTTGGAGTTTTGCTTGATTTGTTTTCTTTTAAATGTTAAAATATTCATGACTTTGATTCGCTAAATTAAAATGGTTATAAGTTTCTTGAAGTTTCAAAACTAAGATAATTATTTTTCATTTTTTATTGCTGTGCTAATTATTCGTTCACTTAAGTTAAGTAAGTTATCCAGATAATCCCTTTTAAAAATTTATTTTCTTTTAGTTGAATTCTTTAAATATTAATGAATAATATAATAAAATGAAGATAACAAAAAATATATCTATTTTTAATATATATTAGAGAAAGAACGAGAATTAAAATAAAAACTTAATTTATACATGTTGATGATCAATCAAATTTAATAACTCATTTCTCCTGATATTTTCTGATCTAAATTTCTTTTGATTGATCATCCCAAGTAATTAAATACTGTCCATCATCAGTCATATATCCAAAAATATGAGATGTTCCAAATTCAATAGATTCCTAAGTCATAACTTCTCCGTTTTGTTTCATACTTATTAAACTTACATTTAAACCATTCTTATTTACAAGCATACATTTTGATTCTATATATTATGAAGCAAACAAACAATGATCACTTCCACCTTTTACAGGAATCTCCTTGGTCTTGGTATACTAATTATTAATATTATTAATTTCAAAAACAATTATGTACTATCTACTATCAGGATAGAATGTGAATGTATAATTATCAATAAAGCATAATCTAAATCCACATTGTTCTACTTTAATTTTTTATTTTACTACCCATTTGTTAAACAAATCTATATGGTCAATTACTAATATAAAATTATCACTTCCACAGGATATCAATCTATTTAATTATTCATTTAAAGTTAATCCTAATACAGCATTTTTATGATCTCTAATAGTCTAAGTGCATAACCATGTATTTTACTTCTACCAGAATTTGATCTTATTATCCCAACCACCAGATATAATAATATTTTCATTATCATTTAATTATAAACAGTAGATACCATTTGTATGTCCATTCAAATACTATTGGCAAATCCATAAATTATTTTGATCTCTTGCCCATATTATGATTGATTTATCTTGACTACCAGATATAAAATGATCCGATCTCTTCATGAAATTTAAAGTATATACATCTCTTCCATGTTCACTTAATATTTAAACTTATTTTAAGATTCCTTATATAACTTCAAATACTTTAATTTAACTTTCACATCCAGCAATTAATATTGAACAATCTTTATTAACAGCAATTGCATTACACCATTGATCTTATTTAATTGAGTTTTCTTTAACTAATTAATAAGTGAATGGTTTAACATTTGATTGAGTAGTTTAAAGTGTTGATGATTATTAAATAGTTTAAGTATTAATCTAACAATCATTTTAATTGATTTAATTTTTCTATGTTGTGTGAGTTTCTTTGGTTAATTCTTGATATTATTGTTCTTACTTTTAAACTTGATTGTGAGTATTAATTAACATCAAAGAAGTCACTTCTTAACAGATTTATTTTGGGAAATTGTCATCTTAAAATTTAAATAATATATTGGAATTGATTTTTGGTAATTGTGATTATTATTATTAAGATGCTATTATATTAATCGAGTTAAACTCATTATTAAGAAGTTCATCAAGTTTGGTATCAATATTATTAAATGAGTTCTATTTACATATATTAAATAATATACACCTCTATTGCTTATTACATATTTTCTATGCATTCATTCACTTTTATTTGGTATTCTTTTCTTATCATTGATTCAGAGACAGTTTACATTTCGACTTTTTAAGATATTTTATTTAATAATTTCTATTTCTATTTAAAGATGCTTATAAGACAACTTTTTTATGTATTTATCAATAAATTAAGTAGTTTAAATTATGATTCAAAATTTGAAAATAAAAAACTTGAAGAGATGAACTCTAGTATATTTAGAAGGATTTCTAAGCAAACAGGCTAAACACGAATCGATTTTGCAACAAAAAATTTTTCAAGTAGCTGATTTTTTCAGAAAATTTTAAGAATGAAAACTCCTTCGATTACATAACTATCAGTACTTCTATAGATATTATAAAATTAAACAACGATAAAATTATATTTGGCAAAAGAACTATCAAACAGATTTGACTGCTCTAATTGATTTATTTTATTAGGGTCCATATTTCGAAGACTATCTTATAATTACTATTTATATCAATAGATTTTTTACTAAATTCTAATATATTGATAAAATTAATTGATCAACGTTATTTAATAACTAACTTTAACAGAAAAATACAAAATATCACATCAAATTTAAATTATTTATTTTTAATATTAAAAGTTAAATTAATATATGTCTCAACTTTTAATAATAAATAGAATTTTATTTTTTGATAATTTTTTTTAGATAACGTTAAATCATGCAAGAGATATATAGAACTTTAGCAATTCGGATCCTTATAAAATTAACATATTATTTTAATAGAAAATTAATCTTTTTGAAATAAGAAATATACTAACTTCAATTTTATTAGTTTCAATTTGAATTTTTGAAAATTACAACATATTATCACAAATCTATTCTATTAATGACATTTAAATCTAGAGGTTTAATCATTTTAGTTCATTTTCTACTTGTGCATTAGCATTAAATAGTAATTATTTTATGATGTTCAATTGTTTTAATTTTATTTTATTGACATCTAATTGATTGTTATTAAGTTTGTCATTTCAAAAATGAACTAAAGGAGTATATCAACTGAGTTAACTCTCAACAATGCTATGCCTATAATTGAAAATTAAAGAATTACAAAATAACTCATTTTTTATTTGCTTGGTTAATTTATTTTTAATCTATTATAAAAAAACATAAATGCCTCTATTTAATTAATTAAAAGATTTTTGTAAATATTAAAAATAAACTCAATCTATAAACACAATTAATTCAGATTTTTTTTTTTAATTTTAGTTATTGTCCTTCTTTACTGAGATGAATCTGATATCCTTTTTATAATTTTTCCTAATATTTAGCTTCTTAATATTTGCATACAACTAGTTTACATAAAATCTAATACTCAAATTTATTTTTTATGTATCCAGCTCTAATATCTGAAAATAAATGAAAATAATAACAAGCTGAATGATATTTCAATTATTGAATCAAAGATATTTCATAGAGATTTCTTTTACATTTATAACCCGAAAAAGTCCATTCATAACCAGATACATATTATATAATTAATTGAAAAACTGTATTTTCATATACTTGCTTAATATTTCTGGACATTTTTATTTAATCAAATACAGAAATAACTCTTTCTTGTTCTATGTTTAGTTATTATTTTGGTTTAAATTAACATATTGATGGTTTATAGTTTCTGAAGTTTTGGAAATAAAATTATGTTGAAAAAATAATTAAACTTTAATTTTATATATATTCATATTTGATTATATTTTCTAATCTAAATTTCTTTTGATTCTTCATCCCAAGTAATTAATAACTACCCATCATCACTCACACAACCAAATAAATCAAAATTTCCAAATTAAATTGATTATTCTATTTTAAATTCATAATTTCCAATTTTTCTTATAAAATTCACATAATTACTCGTTTTAATTACAATCAGACATTATGGTTCGATAAACTTTATTGGAAAAAACTAATAATCACCTCCACTCTTCATAGCAATATCTTTTGTTTTTGTATACTATTTATTAATATCATTAAATTCATAAAAATGTAGATGTTCTACACAATAGAGTTGAAAAATGAATTAATTTTCATTAATAAAACATATTCTACAACCAGTTGTTTCAACCTTAATCTTTTAGACTACACTCCATTTACAATCCTATTAAGATTATTCGATTATTAATATTTATTCATCGCATGCACATGATATTAATTAATTCTATTTTTAATTTAAACTTAATCCTACGACATAATTATTATGGTCTGTAATAGTTTATGAACATAACCATTAGTGATTTTATTTCATCCAGAATTTAATAGTATTATCTTCACTACCTGTTATTATTAGATCCTCATTGATATTCAATAATAAACAAAGTATCCAACCATTATGTCCATTTAATTTCTATTAGCAATCCCATTTATTGTTTTCATTCAAAGACCATATTATAATTTATTTATCATAACTTCCAGACATAAATTATTTAGATTTCTTCATAAACTATAAAGTATTAACAATACTCTAATGTTCATTTAAAACTTGTATTTCTTTTAATACATCTTATTTCAATTAAAATACTTTAATTTTCTCATAACATCCAACTATTACAATGGAACAATCTGAATTGATAGCTATTGCTTAACAATTATCCTATTCTTTAATTGAACTCTCCTCGATGAATTAATAAGTAAATGAGTTTTATATTAATTCAGGAGAAGATTGAAGACATTGTTATTATATTTTGGTTTATGCTTAGTGTTTTTATTATAATAATTACTAGTCCTTGACTTTTAATTAGTCTTCAAATTGTGGATTCAATTATTCACATTGGCTAATTGATTATTTGATTTCTTAATTATATTCCTATTACTGTTTTAATTGATCCTGCATCTAACTTATTGATAATTATTAAGATTTATTATTTTAATTCGAAATAGTATATAATTATTGTTTTAATTAAATATCAATCAAATAAAGAACTTGATCAAATTTATATTTTAATTGTAGTATAATTTATATCGTGTCTTTTCTGATATATTCTATCATTATAATATTTTAAAATCATAATCAGTTCTATTATAAATTTCTTTATCA